CAACACTTCCACATCAGAAGCTGTCAGACCGTGGAAAAGGTCATCGAATCGGAGACTTTCCCACGACAGGAAGGAGCCAGACCGTGGAAAACTGTGAGCTAAGCCAGAAGCATATTTCACGTTTTCACTGGAGATGCCTGTATGCGTTGGGCAGAGCAGCAATTCGACTGTAAGCTCTCCAGCTGTCACTGAGGATGGTAGTACCGGGCTCGATGTACTTCATGATGAGCCGCAGTAGAGTTGAAACGTCTTTCCTTCGGACCATCCGAAGGAGTCCACTTCCTCTTTCAATGCCTCCAAACAGCCACTTGTGCCTGCGTACCCAACGTCGGCGGTTGTATTTGCGTTTGATAACCAGTGTTTTCGTCAATTTCCATCTCGCACCCGAACCTTCCGATGATCGGCGGGTTCCTCCTGAAGTGCCCCACACATACGTCGCGGAAAGAACCGCTCCCACTGAATTGAACTGGTGTGGCCGACGTTGAGCTCGTATTCCTTGTCCTTCACCCTTGCCCATGTCGCGCAGCCAGAAATAGGGCAGTGCGAACACCGTGGACTCAGGAAAGTTACAGTTCTCGAAAAAGGAATCCTTTCGGGCATGAACGTAGACCCTGGTCTCGTTCGACGGTCCAGTGCGGCACGCTCGACGATTGCAAATCCAGCCGTTGTGCCGTTCGTCGTTGATCAGGCTCATGGATCGTTGACATGAATGGCATAGTGGCACAGACATCAACCCATGGATCGCAACCAGTAAGTGCAGATTATTCAACTTGAGCGTCTCGTACACGTCCTTCAAGGCTAAGCCCAGTAGCTCTCATTGACGATTGTGTCGCTAAAGAGTAGCAAGAGCCATCGTTATTCTCCGTTGTCGAAAACGTGAAACATGCTTCTGGCTTCCTGTCGTGGGAAAGTCTCCGATTCGATGACTTTTCCCACGGTCTGACAGTCGGCGCTCTGAGAAAGGTGCCCAAGAGTGCATGTCCGTCTGCTGTGAAGTGTTGTTTGTGACACCACATGGCGCCGGCGTCAAGACTGGATGTTATATTCGTGATCAGGACCCCAAATAACCCCTATACACACGTTTTCAGCGGATTTGGTGGAAACAGCCGTGGCGCCAAATTGGCGCCAAACGGCGCCAAATGGCGCCAGCGCCAAAAACGGGTGTCGTTTTCGTAATCAGGACCCCAAATAACCCCAAATGACGAAGTTTCAGCAGATTTGGTGAAAACAGCTGTGGCGCCAAAATGGCGCCAAATGACACCAGCATCAAAAATGAATGTCATATTCGTAATCAGGGCATCGAATTACCCCAATAGACAAAGTTTCGACGAAAAATGAAACTTTGGGGCAGTAACAGTGGAACAGTGAGTGCCCAATCGGCAATAGGGGAAGGCTGAAAACGGTGAAAAACCAAAGTTTCAACTGGGGAAGTAATGCATATCATTCGATAGCATTTTTCACGGGGAATCCTAACGGGGCACATTTCAGGTCTGCGAGTTCATCTGAAAATGCAAAAAAATCTGATCTTTTCACAAGGGCATGACGAGGAGGCATGTTCACGGCCGCAGCACGGAGGGAGCGGTCATCTGCAAACAATTGTGTGATCTTATTCCTACACACAAGTAAGCGTACTCTACAACTGTGAAGGAATTTCCCCGCTACCCCCTCAGATTTCGGAAAAACCTTCGCTCAAACATTGGAAAATTTCACCAATAGTAACTCCTGCTGAAAAATGATCTATGATTCCATTTGAACACGAGAGGAGGAGTTGTTGAGCGCAGTCATGTACATTTTGAGTCATTTAACGCGCCGCTATGGAATAGGGACCATGAAATCTGAAAAAAAGCAATCGATCCTTTCACAATACAATGAACCATGTTGAATACGCGGCGCGTTCTGGAGCAACTACTGAGACCCATCTCTCTGAAGAAAGATCATAATGCATAAGCGGGATTATATGCGCACCACATTCAAACAATTTTTTCTCGAGCCAAAGCTCGAGTGCATGGCGCAATCTGAAGTAGGGCTTTTAAAAGTTTAAAAGCATATTCTTATAGAACTCGACGAGCTGAGTTCAACGCTTTTTTCAGATTTTGAAAATCTCAATTTTGAACCGAGTTATAACGAATTCACGAAATTAACGAGGATTCGCGTTATTCGCGTGAATTTTCGATTTCAAACGGCGAGTACTGTACAGTTCTTACAATCAGGGTCATCATCAACCTTTCTGATTAGCTTTCTGCCCAGAATTGGGGCGAAAATTGTATGGCGCTAAAGCGGCGCCGAGTTGGTGCCCGAGGAGGCTAAAATGGCGCAATATCGCGCCTCCATCAAAAATGGACGTCAGATTCGTAATCAGCGCCTATAATTACCCTTATAGCCGCAGTTTTAGAGAAGATCAAGATTTCGGCCCGAATTCAAAAATTGGGCCATGGGTAGCCCATAGTCAGTACGGCATGCACGCTTCCCACTTGAAGACAGCTTCGAGATGATAGCAAGCGGCACGTTTGGTTGATAGTTACACTTCCACCGCAGTTCCTGCATGGAAAAAGCATAACTTCGTATAGCATACATTATACGAAGTTATGGTGTGGCACTGGCATACGTCGACGAGCATCCTGAACGTTCCTTAACGCCGGCAAGGAAATGGAGTAGGTGTTCCTTGCGAAGAAAATGACAACTTCACTTTTCTGGCGTTCGTTAGATGCAGTTGGTGTGATCCGCGCCTGTGATTCAGATGCTTCATTGAGTTTTACCATAACTGCTAGTTATTTATTGCTTGTAAACGGAATTTCGTACACAACTGAAAAAACATGGTACTACGAAATATCGCAGAATTGTGGGAGAAAGTTCTTGGAAATGACACCTATAGGCTTTAAGTTCACGCGCAAGCACATGCAAATGCAAAAAAGTGATAATCGGAAAAATGCAAAATCCGAGCATGGAGGGGAACCGAACCAACAACTTCGAACAAACCGTGCCAACCAGAGTCCATCACGCTATCCACTCGACCATCCGACCACCGCTGTATGAATGTCAACGACTCTGATGAAACTTCCTTGTGCTTTTGAGCACTTATTATATACAATTTTTGGTATTGGCTTTATTCCACGCTGTTTTCAACGTTCAGGTGAAGAAAACCTTCTATTGTGCGTCCACTTAACATAACGAGTGATATAAACCACGTTGAAGGTGTGAAAACTCCGATTTCTGAAGAAATTTTTTTCACTCCTTTTTTGGCATTCAGAGGGCCGCTCAGAAAAAATGGAGCCTAGTTTTGTACTCCATGCATGTGCCCCTTTATCATGCAAAAAACCGTTTTCAAAAAGGGCTCCATGTCCTGAAAGACCTTCCTTGGTTAGCGCGCTTCGCTGCAGACATGGAGCGCTGTATTTTAAGTACGATGTAGGGGGTGGGACGGGAACATATTTGGTGGGTTGAAAAAGTGATACCGACTGATAAGATCTGATAAGGGCGTTAAACGCAAATTTCACGAAATTCACAGAGCGTGTCCCAGCAGTAGTGAAGCGTTGTCCTTGAGATGAGGGTGGTACGGGAACATATTTGGTGAGTGATAAAAAGTGATAACATTTGATAGGGATTGATAAGAGCGGTCAGTTGAATACGTGTAAGGTTACTAAAGTTTTTAACTAGATACGCGATAGGAAAAACGTTTTTTGCGTGTCGTCGCCGACACCAAGATCCATTCAACCGCTAACTTGCCTAAGCTTCTTGAGATGGTGTTGTTAGCGGAAATAAACAAGCATTGGTGGCCTTACATAAATTATGGATGGCGTAGGAATTTATTGAACCGCTCAAAATTCTTAAGATTCGAGGTGTCGAGTTAACGGTTGACAGCGACCCAAGTAATCGTTTTAGTTATGCGAAGCTTATTTAGCCGCTAATCACATTAGCCTCCCAAAATATTAGATGTTTATGGGATCGAGAGCATGATTGCTTCATCAGCAGCACTGTAGTATTCTTTCGTTAGCAGCAGCAGCTAGATCCATGAGAAGCATGCGTGCTGCATAATGCAAGAGCCCGGCTACTCTGTTGTACCAAAGTCTACTTCAGCATGCGTGCGGCAGCGAAGCCAAGCTAGTTGTACTAAAACGTCTAATTCCAACTACCCACTTATCTATTGAGTAGGAAGGAAAAGTTCTAAAACACTCAATTCGTGCTCTTTCTGGATTTCTCCCGAATCTTCCATGGGTGGTATATAGTAGGAGCGGACCTGTGCTGCGTACGGTGCTCAAATCAGCTTTCCCAATAATGGCGTTTGCATCGCACAAAATCGACTTCTCCCGCGAGACCATCCGATCGCTCACCTGCTATAGATATCGTGAAATTTGCGTTCTAGCGCCTCTTATCAGCCCTTATCAGTCGCTATCACTTTTTGACCCCCACCAAATATGTTCCCGTCCACCCCCTACATCATACTAAAATACAGCGCTCCATGCTGCAGCGAAGCGCGCTATGAATTTCGTGACACACACACACACACACACACACACACACACACACACACACACACACACACACACACACACACACACACACACACACACACACACACACACACACACACACACACACACACACACACACACACACACACACACACACACACACACACACACCACACACACACACACACACACACACCACACACACACACACCACACACACACACACACACACACACACACCACACACACACACACACACACACACACACACACACACACACACACACACACACACACACACACACACACACACACACACACACACACACACACACACACTTAGCGAATCATATGTAGTAGGATACGGTGATCAGGTGGAAAAGCCCTGCCTTCAGACATAACAAAATTCGAACTGGTTCGATCGAGCAGAAAATAAGTTACAGTCGGAAAAGAATTCCACCGAAGACTTTTGAGCGCTACTGTAGGTCTCGAGGCTCAACTATGAGTAATTTGCCCTTTTTACTTTTCTTTTCAAAACAAGTTTAATGCTCTTGTTCGGAAATATGCTCTGATATCGGTAGGGCATACATTCCGGTTGAGAAAAACAAAAACGAACATTCGCTTCACGTTGAACGTGACCATTCCAGTAGGGAGGGGGTGGTTTGTAAGTTGAATGGCATAGGCTCCCGGATTCACACGTTTACCACTTCGATTTATTGCTGCTCTGAGCAAGGAATTGTGCCAGAGATTGAGATGCACTGGTTGCGAATGAAAAGCTCGAGTGTCGAATAAAATCTGAAAGAGCATTGAAAGATTGGATTTTCTTATCCAGAAGACGAGGCCAAATACCTTTGATACATGTCGAACTGCTAACTTTCGGAGAGGGCTCCGCTTGCCAACGCCATAATCGAAAGGAACGTTCGGATTTTGATGGCCTAGTGCGAGTCCACCATACCTGAAGTTCTGCAACAATTCCCTATGGAAAGCTTTATTTTCCATTTTTTTCTTCGAAGAGAATGAGTTCTCCTAAAGCATCAACTGAAAAAAGTAAAATCAGCTATGATTCAATATCGAAACGATTCAAAATTCTTATTGTAGACTTTCCAGTTCAATTCTTTCAACAATATGGTGCTATTGATACGCAATGATTGTAAAGTAATTCGGCCTTCCGCTCTGCGTAGTGCAACTGTTAAACTTCAGCAGAGCGCTGTGCGAGTCAGTTTTTATCAATTTCCCAAATTTTCAAACATTGCTCCAATGGCACTCAAGCTGGAAACTTTTTCAAAACTGAGCGGTGAATTCAGCACAGGCTTCACTGTTACCGTTACTGAGACTGGTATAGAAACAGCGTGCTAAACAGATCCCCGCTTCATCAATTGCGACAACTGGCTCTGCCACCTCTCAAGATTAGACCAGTACATTTTTATATGAGCCCCTCGTAGAAAATCCTGTTCTACCAAATCTCTAACTTGAATCCTATAAGGACGACTCTTTGAAATCTTAGATTGGCGAAAAAACCTGCGTGCCGCATGCGTGTTCGCAAAACTTCTGTAGAATTGAGTGAAGGGTAGAAGCGATCAATTTGAAAACCGCTAATATATCTTGTATTGTAATCATTCCTATTTATACTGCTCATGGTTAGGATTTTGCTCCATCCTATCCATATATTCTGCAAAGTACAAGTGAAATTGAGAAGCGTGCTGAAATAAGCAGTGTCTTCCGAAGGTGGATGATATGAAAAAGTTTTGCTTGTCGAAGCCGAAAGTAGAAGTGGAAGAGTGCACCACTTTGAAATCCACTTAGTCCCACTTGTTGTGAGACGCAAGCAGTGGTGAGATGACAGCGTGCCCCATCACTGCACTGCCATTCGGAATGACAAGTGGAGAAGCAGTGACATGTGTACTTTTTCAAATCTGTAGACACCGCAAAATAGCAAAAACATTCCTGAATCCGCTGTGAATGGAAAGTCACGAATACAAACCCAAAGCTTCTGGTCATTGCATAATTAACGCTCCACGCAGATAAGTCAAATCCAGACACGTCGTAGGGTAATGCACCGTTGAATGACACTTTCGGCAACGTCGAAAGAGGGAAATCTTCGCAGTCCTCTACGAAATCACTTTCATCGCAAGTACACTGGCCAGCGGAAGAATCTGAAAAGCCACAGTCATTGAAGCCAGACAGTTTCGCTTTGTGAATAATGCAGCACACTTTTAATTGCCGAATCCCAATTATTAATTAGATACATATAACACAAATCGGGTAATATCGCTCGAAGAAGTCCTAGGATGGGTCGTATTTGTAACGATGAGTAGGGGTCGTAGTTGTGAGCAGGGTCAATCGTTGCACTTTCGTACCGTCGTAAATTAAAAACCTTGCGACCTACCTCCCTTTAGGGGGCTCATCACCACTACCATGAGACCTAGAAAGCTCCTCCAACACGACTCCCCTTTCCCCTTCCCTCACTACCACCATGGCTGTTTCTACAACACTTGATTCTGAGACTAGTCGACACAGCCCAACCCCGCCCACTTTTTTCCTCCGATACGGCCGTCGAGCGGGATGGGGGAGGGAATTGGCGTGAAGCGGCAGATATTGTGACCAATTTTGCAATTTTGTCCATCCTGTAGAACCTGAATTTGTCAAAAAAAAACGTGTAATTGTCAGCCCATTAGCCTAGCTCCGCTCTACACCAAAATGCGAACACTTTCCTTCGCGAAGCCATATTGACTCTGGTCGCGAGAATAGTGATGAACTCATCAGTAGTATCATTGCGGGGGAATATGTTATGTCATTGAGGAGAATATGTTACGCTGTCCAAAAAGAGCAGGGATTTCCTCAGCGTGGTGACTGTATACGAGTTATACTTCATTTTCGATCGACAGAAACGTTTCCTCATCGTCTACACCACGTAACACCTTTCAGTTGCTTCCGACTGCACCAGCTCTCATTACTTAAGTTAGGAAAATGTATTCAAGAACGTTGTTATTCTTCTGCCAACGAGGTTGTTAGGTGGAGAATCTTTTATTAGTGGCCTGACGTTTCGACGAGATCGTCTTCCTCAAAGGCCTAAACGTGGCTCAAGGTTTGAGATTTGTCCTTTAAACCGCCAAACGCCGCTTCTCCCTAGCGTTTCTGACGGAACGTTAAGGAGAACAAGCGAAAATCCCCGAACGAGGAAATAGACTCACCCAGTCCACCACCGCAAGAGCAGAACAACGCCACTCCGGGTTAGTTATGGTTAGTAACTGAGGCTTACTGTGCAGTCTTTGTATAAAGGCTATAGTTCAGACCTGCACGTCTCAGTGTTTACGTCAGTAGCTCACAATGTGGTGAAAACGGCAGGAAATCATTTGTGGAGGATAGACGCTCATCGCGGTTATTCATTCTGGGATTCCGCGCGTGAATCCAGAATGCCTCAAGCGCTTTCCTGGCGGAAATCTCAGTCTCGTACGCTAAGATTTTGCACTTTACATCAAAGTCATTCCCGTGGTGCTCTTCGACTACATGCTTGCCGAGCG